AGAAAAATTCAGGAAACAATCCTACGCACCATTGCAACAGAAAGAATAAAATACCTAGGAATAAACCTATCTAAGGAGGTAAAAGACCTGTACTCAGAAAACTATAAGACACTGGTGAAAGAAATCAAAGATGACACAAACTGATGGAGAGATATGCCATGTTCTTGGATTGGAAGAATCAATATTGTGAAAATGACTATACTACCCAAAGCAATCTACAGATTCAATGCAATCCCTATCAAGTTACCAATGGCATTTTTTACAGAGCTAGAACAAAAAATCTTAAAATTTATGTGGAGTCACAAAAGACCCTGAATAGGCAAAGCAATCTTGAGGAAAAAAAAAAAAAACATGGAGCTGGAGTAATCAGGCTTCCTGCCTTCATACTATACTACAAAGCTACGGTAATCAAGACAATATGGTACTGGCAGAAAAACAGAAATATAGATCAATGGAACAGGATAGAAAGCCCAGATATTAACTCACGTACCTACGGTCAACTAATCTATGAAAAAGGAAGCAAGGATATACAATGGAGAAAAGACAGTCTCTTCCACAAGTGGTGCTGGGAAAACTGGACAGCTACATGTAAAAGAATGAAATTAGAACACTCCCTAACATCATACACAAAAATAAACTCAAAATGGATTAAAGACTTAAGTGTAAAACCGGACACTATAAAACTCTTAGAGGAAAACATAGGAAGAACACTCTTTGACATAAATCACAGCAAGATCTTTTTTGACCCACCTCCTAGAATAATGGAAATAGAAACAAAAATAAACAAATGGACCTAATGAAAGTTAAAAACTTTTGCACAGCAAAGGAAACCATAAACAAGACAAAAAGACAACCCTCAGAATGGGAGAAAATATTTGCAAACGAATCAACAGACAAAGGATTAATCTCCAAAATATATAAAGAGCTCATGCAGCTCAATATTAAAAAAACAAACCACCCAATCCAAAAATGGGCAGAAGACCTAAATAGACATTTCTCCAAAGAAGACATACAGATGGCTAAGATGCACAAGAAAAGCTGTTCAACATCACTAATTATTAGAGAATGCAAATCAAAACTACAATGAGGTATCACCTCACACTGGTTAGAGTGGGCATCATCAGAAAATCTACAAACAATAAATGCTGGAGAGGGTGTGGACAAAAGGGAACCCTCTTGCACTGTTGGTGGGAATGTAAATTGGTACAGCTACTATGGAGAACAGATGGAGTTTCCTTAAAAAACTAAAAAGAGAACTACCATATGACTCAGCAATCCCACTACTTGGCATATACCCTGAGAAAACCATAATTCAAAAAAAATGAACATGCATCCCAATGTTCATTGCAGCACTATTTACAATAGCTAGGTCATGGAAGCAACCTAAATGTCCACTGACAGAGAAATGGATAAAGAAGATGTGGTACATTTGTACAATGGAATATTAAAAAGTCACGAAATTGGATCATTTGTATAGGTGTGGCTGGACCTAGAGAGTGTCATACAGTGAAGTAAGTCAGAAAAAGAAAAAAACAAATATTGTATATTAACGCATATATGTGGAAACTAGAAAAATGGTACAGGTGAACCTGTTTGCAAAGCAGAAATAGAGACACAGATGTAGAGAACAAATGTAAGGACACCAAGGGGGAAAAGCAGGGGGTAAGTGTTGGGGGGTGTGATGAACTCAGTGATTGGGATGGACATATATACACTTATATGTATAAAATAGATAACTAATAAGAACCTGCTGTATAGCACAGGTAACTCCACTTTGCTGTACAGTAGAAACTAGCACAACACTGGAAAACAACTATACCCCAATGAAAAAACATAAAAAAATTTAAAAAACAAAATAAAAGGAGTCATTCCTAAAGCATCAGTAGTTATCAACAACAAGATGCTGCTGCTGAGAAGACAGGGCCAATCTTTACCTTTTGATCGAGTTGGATCAGAATTCTATTACAGGCCGTGTTGAAGCTCTATTCTATTTCTCATGTGCTTGCAGTGCTGTATCCCTCTACCTCTTATGGAGACTTATCTGACCTTCTCCATTCCACCTGCTAATTTAGAACTGCACAGTCCATATTTGGAAGATCAATTCAATTAGTGCTTGAAAAGTAATCTCTTGACTGTTGCTGGCACTGGTTACTTGGCTTGTTTTAATTATAACAGAATATCTTTGCTCTTAAAAAATCAAAAGGATGTCAAGATATTTTTTGCCCACCCTCAAAGATTGCAAGCCCTCGCCTAAGATGATAATTGTTCCAAAATTGGGAGAATATCCTCAAAGCACCTAGTGTCTTGACACACTTAAAATACCTAAATAATTATTGAATAGCCACAACAATAGTAACTTTTGAATACATGTGCAGTACCATTTTGCAGCTTCCCCAAAGCTTGGCTGTGTTAATTAATTTATGCCTCGCAAGAACCTCTTGCTGTAGGCAGGATACTATTATTAATCCTCACTATGCAGACAGGGAAACCGAGTCACAAAAAGATCAAATTACTCAAGTTCTCATAGCTGGTAAATGGCAGACTGGGGACTTGATCCCAAATTCCCTGCCATGACATTTTGTGGCCTTTTTTACTATATTACCAGGCTTCCCTCCCCAACAGAGCCCTCTTTGGATACATGAACCTTTAGGAAAGTTGGCTCTATGACATTTTTGCTATCTGAAACTTTCAAGACCTTTTCAGTCTAGTTCAACTGGTTCAAGTTCAGCTTTATCACAAGTGGGTGCCACTTCTCCATGACTCCTCTTTATGAGCTGTCACCTTCCCTAACCCCTCAGGGGTCTCTAACTCTTTTGGTTATTTCAGAGCTTTAAGATCATTTTCTTGTTCATTTCAGAAACTATTTGTATCAGTCTCATTTTACATGTCATAACTGAATGTTCTGACAAACTACGGCAATCGTTCTTTGGATATAGAATCCACTAGCAGCTTTGAGCCCTCCCTCTTGAAAATACATATGAATCTAGATCTCTATCTAAGCCATATCAACATAATCAACATCCCACCTCAACACACACATAGGGTAACACCTAGGCTTCCTAAGGCTACTGACTTTCCTCAGAGCTGATAATCAACAACTTAATCTTGCTCATCCCTGCTCCTTTTATTTACTTTATGCCACTGTCTTTGACATATATAATATGGCAGCTTACAAAGTAAGGTGCTGGTACCACCCTAAGAGTTGGGAATATAGTAGAAAGATGGAGGAGCCAGGGGTACCAAACAGATTCTCATGCTTGACTTTTACCCAAACTTAAAAAAAAATGAGAGAATTTACAGCAATGATAAAGCCATACATTTGTGGGATACATACTGGCCTCACATAAGTGAAACAAATCTTTCCTTTTTCTTTTTTTCCTTTTTCTTTATTGGAGTATAATTGCTTTACAATGTTGTGTTAGTTTCTGCCGCACATTGAAGTGAATCAGCCATACCCATACACACATCCGCTCCCTCTTAGACCTCCCTCCCCCCCACCATCCCACCCAACTAGGCCACCACAGAGCACCAAGCTGAGCACCCTGTGCTATACAGCAGGTTCCCACTAGCTATCTATTTTATGCATGGTAGTGTATTTATGTCAAACCTTACCTCCCAATTCATCCCACCCTCCCCTTACCCACTCCGTGTCCACATGTCCATTCTCTATGTCTGCCTTTCTATTCCTGCCCTGCAAATAGGTTCATCTGTGCCATTTTTCTAGATTCCACATACATGCGTTAATATACATTTTTTTTCTCTTTCTGACTTAAATCTTAATCCAAGACCTTTATTGTGAAACAAACAAAAAAATGCAGATCTGAGACAGAGAGAAGAGGGAAGAGGAAGAAAGAAAGATATATAACTAGTCAGGAAAAGGAAAACATACATAATGCAGATGTGGACTTGGCCATAAATTAAATGAAGAATTCCTCCAAATCTGCAGAGCTTCTAAATTCTACATTAAAATTTTTTTTATTGAGCTATAGTTGATTTATAATATTAGTTTCAGGTGTACAACATAGTGATTCAAAATTTTTATATATTATACTCCATTTATAGTTATTATAAAATATTGGCTATATTCTCTGTGCTGTACAATATATCCTGCAGCTTATTTATTTTATACATACTTTGTACTTCTTAATCCCTCCCCCTATCCTGCTGTTACCCCCTTCCCTCCCCACACTGGTAACCACTAGTTTGTTCCCTATATCTGTGACTCTATTTCTGTTTTGTTATATTCATTTGTTTGTTTATTTTTCAGATTCCACATAAGTGATAACAAACGGTATTTGTCTTTCTCTGTCTGACTTATTTCACCAAGCATAGTACCCTCCAGGTCCATCCATATTGTTGCAAATGGCAAAATTTTAATTACATTTTTAAAAGAAATTAAATTTAGTAGTCTAAAGCAATATTCTTTCATTGTGTCAACATCACAAAGTAAAAGTTAGTTAATATAATACAACACTCTCCTCAGTAATATAAGGAAACCAGAGAATTTTATAACTAGAATGAATTCAGTCATCAATAACTATATGAAAGAAAAAGATGTATATATAGATTCTTTTAAGGTGTTTTAAATTAAACTTCACTAGATAACCAATAATGTAGAAATCTGCTTAATGTAAAATATTACAGAGAAAGAAAGAACAGAAGGAAAGTAAATTGTATAAAAATAGAAATATTCATAATAGAAAGAAAACTAAAATGTGGCTTCCTCTTATTTTTTGAGAAATAATTTTTAATCCTATTAATATTCAAATTTCCTCAATTGTCAGCTAAATATCCTTTATTATTTGTTTTTCCAAAACCCAGTTCAGTCTAGCACCACACATTGCATCTATTTTTTTAGGGCAATCCTCTTTCCCTACTCTCTGCCTTGTCTCCATGTTGCTTACTTGTTGAAGAGTTGTTTCCTTGGATAAAAACACATCATTTTGAAAATACAGAATTAAATTTAAATGAAATGAAAATACCTTAAAAATCTTACTTACCAAAAGAGAATAGGGACAGTTATTATGTTCAAAAGGTTTAGAAAAGAAATCGGTATTGTGGTCCAGTCTCTGGTGTCCTCCATATTCCGCTGCATCTGAATCTAGCACAATTTTGTATGTACAACTCTTAAGGAATCACAACGGTTTAGGAGTTGAATGAGACATTATAAAACATTTCTGAGACAGAATTTAAAAGCAAGTATTTTGAAAACTGTTTAATGATGATTTGTGCTATGTTCTCATTTCTTCTCTAAGGTTTCTGAGTTTGAGTTTATCATGTTTGAAAGGGGCTTTATAGGCTGTCTAGTCCACAAACCCATGGGATCCTTGTTATCCTTTTATCACAGCTCGTCACATGATCATCCATACCTATTAATGAAGAATCTACTTTCCTCTTCATGTAACTAATTCCATTTGTTAGAAATTCTTCTCCATATTGAACAGAATTTTGATTTCTTTTTTCTTTTTTTTTTTTTTTAAATTTTATTTATTTATTTGTGGTTGTGTTGGGTCTTCGTTTCTGTGCGAGGGCTTTCTCCAGTTGCGGCAAGTGGGGGCCACTCCTCATCGCGGTGCGCGGGCCTCTCACTATCTCGGCCTCTCTTGTTGCGGAGCACAGGCTCCGGACGCGCAGGCTCAGTAATTATGGCTCACAGGGCTAGCTGCTCCGCGGCATGTGGGATCCTCCCAGACCAGGGCTCGAACCCGTGTCCCCTGCATTGGCAGGCGGACTCTCAACCACTGCGCCACCAGGGAAGCCCCAGAATTTTGATTTCTTGGGACTTTTTCTACCCAGAAAAGCCATAAAGAGTAAGTTCAAAATACAGTAATTTTCAAATATTTAACAAGAGCTATTTTGTCTCCATGTGTCCTCTGCATACATAACTAAATACTTACTAAATGTAATCCCAGAACCTTTGATCATTACTCATTTGATATGGCTTTTTACTATTTCCCCATCTCTGAATTCATTGCAGTTTGCTAGATCCTGGTTGATAAAGTGAGGAACACAGAAGAGAACTAAGGGTCCATGTGTGGTCTGAAGACCAAGTAGGCTCAGTCTTTCCCCTTGGTTACAAGCAGCATGCTTCTATTAATGCACAAGATCATGCAAACATACTATTCATCATGCCACAGGTGGATTCATGTTGCAATCATGTGATCTGCTACAACTTAACATCTGATTTTTCACAACAAGCTATTATGCATGTTAGCATTATTGTATTTATAACAAAATAACAGCTATGGTTATTATGTTCAAACTTATGCTCAGGAAGTCTAGAAATGATACTTGATTAAAAAATCCACAAGTAAATATAAATGGGTACCTAGAAATTTAAGTTTCTTCTAGCCTAAGGAGGGAGACAGATAGGTGTCCAGGTGCTTTGTATTTTCTTTTCCTCGTATATAAATATTTAATCTCAGAAACGTTTGTACCTTTTCATTACAGCTAAAGTTATCACATTTTAAGTACATGGGAAAAAAAAAAGTACATGTGGATAACAAACTATGACCATAGTTTCATGCCTAGGGGACCTCTGTTTGGGTAAGAGATGCAGATGGACGCACCACAGGAACTTTTGCTGGGAGTGGTGGCGCCATTTCAGTCAATCCAGGTCAGCCTACTCTGATGCAAATTTAGACTAATACCGTAATCAGCATGTTACTGTGTTTAAAAGAGAGGGAGAGGGAGGGGGAGAAAGATTGAGTTCAAAAGGTGACTACTGGGCACAAGCTCATTCATTCTAAAGTCACTCAGTAGAGCTGCACATGATTTGAGCGTATGGATTTATTTAATGGGGAAATACAGAGAGTGAAAATAAATCATTAGGGGCATTGTAAATAAATGAAGCATTGTGGAATGAAAGGAACTACTAACGTAAAATTTAGTTTTGTTTCTTCATCCTAGTTCATTAAATACTTGCACAGCCTTCAAAAAGCATTAAACAAAAACAAAAAGAGTACAATACAGTTTAGAGAATAATGACCTAGAATCCTTTCTAAAACACTTGAAATACAGTATCAATTATTAAATTATTGGTTAACAGCATAGATTATTGGTAGTTGTGACTGAAGACAGCAAGTATATCATGAAAAGCACCGATTCCCAACCTGTGGGTTGATAATCACTGGTCATTATGTTATAAGGGTCTCACAGAATGAGTAATTATGTTATTAAAAGGGACTGGGATGGATTCTATATGTACATTGTCTGAAGACTAAATTATGTTATTATACCCATTTGGTACTGTATTTCAAAGAATGTGCACTTTGTTGATTAATGAGATATAAATTCATTTAAAAAGTCACAGAATTTGTAGTAAGTTTTTTGATATATTTTCTCAATCAAGGATACTGAAAGAACAATTGTTATATAAGAACCAACTTTTTTTGACATTGAAAGGGGTCATCACACTGAAAATGGTTAGAATCTACTCAATCTATAATTTATAGCTATAAAGAAAAAGCTTACAAAAGCCATAAAGTTTCAAAATATCAGTTTAGACATATTTCTCTGATCTATAATTTAAAGAAAAAAATTCTGCCGTGGCCACTTTTAGAATTCCCCAGCCCTGTGTCTCTATTACCCAGGGAATACAGCCACGTCCTTTAGAAAACACATCCCTTAAACTCCAGAATTTCCAACAATTTAAAACACTAGATTAAAAGTAATGATTGTGAAAGAGCTTTATAATTGTAAATTACTACAACATACTACTCAAGTGTCAACTTAAAAAAATGCACAATGTGAGAGCTGCAAGTTAAGTTTTATTTGGGGCAAAATGAGGACTGCAGTCTGGGAGACAGCATCCCAGATAGCTCTGAGAAACTGCACCAAAGAGGCAGGGGGGAAGGTCAGTATATATGCGATTTTGGTGAAGGGGGAATACATGCAATCAAGCACATATTTTTTACAGAAGTTTTCTACTAGTCTCGTGCAGGTTACTGCTAGTCACAGGAGCAGATGTCACCATGAAGGATTTTAGCGCTTTTCTATATATGAGGAGATACAAGAATTGGGCTCATAAAATTGTTCCTGAAAATATCTAACTATCTGAAGGCCTGATCTGCCAGTTTTTCCCAGAGCACAGAGTGCCTCATTTCTGCTCTCCACCCTGAACTCCTTTCAGGGGGTGTTGAAAGTCAGCAGATGCAGCAGCTCATGATTTAAACCTTGTAGATGTAGATGGCAAAGTGCCAATGGAAAATGCCAGTTCATAGTTGACACAAAAATCAGGAAACCCCGTCTTTTAGGAACACTGCTTAGCATAAACATTTTTAAAGAGGTTATATGGGCAGTTGGATTTTTGTTTTTCTCTTCTCTCGCTCAGGCATTCCCTCACTCCCTCTTTCTCATGTATATGTGAGCACACACAAACACACACAAATACACAGACACACATATATACACACATGCACATGACGTGGGACCCACACAGCACCAATACCCCTACAAAGCCCTGTTTTCCACTAAAGAACATCCCTCTGAAAATATAACTCAGAGCCAATTTACACTTAAACTACCTTCTTCATGTGGTTTCCAGTTCCACAGTGGATAAAACAAATTTAGCAGGACATCTCAACACCTTCACATCTCTTTAATTCATAGCTACATCCCTAAACCTAGCAGACTGCCTTCTCATAATAGCTTCTCAAAACATCTTTGAAACTGATATTCAGGATGAGAATTCTGATTCACCAAGAAAGGCCAAATTACATGTCTTATTTTTTATATTCGAGGAAAGTAGGAGAAATTATTTTCCCATTCACTTAATAAATACACACAGTGTAGGAGGCACTGTACAAGATATAAAAAAAAAATGACTAAGATGTGGTTTTAGTTCACATGCAACTCATAGCCTATTAAGGGGAGATCAGAAATGAATATGAATGTCTATAAATAAAACAGAAAGCAATATGCAATGAGAGGTAGAGCCAAGGAGGGAAGGTAGGATTGACAGTCTGTAAACAAAACCTTTTGAAGGCTAGGCTAGACTGTTTTTATTTTGTAATTAAGTATGAGAACATTGAAGGGTTGTGGGAAAGGTTATGACAATCAAAAAAATTAACCTGGGGCTTCCCTGGTGGCGCAGTGGTTGAGAGTCCGCCTGTCGATGCAGGGGACACGGGTTCATGTCCCGGTCCGGGAAGATCCCATATCCCGCGGAGAGGCTAGGTCCGTGAGCCATGGCCGCTGAGCCTGCGCGTCCGGAGCCTGTGCTCCGCAACGGGAAAGGCCACAACAGTGAGAGGCCCGTGTACCGCAAAAAAAAAAAAAAAAAAAAAAAAAAAAAAACTAACCTGAAGGTTGAGGGTAGAATAGGATGAACAAAGGAAAGACTAAGTCAGAGAAACCAGCCAGGGACCTAACAATGGTTCACGGATAGTAGTATGGCTAAACTTGGATAATGCAAATGGAGAGACATACATAAACAAATGAGATTTTGGATGTGCAACTAATGGTACTCAAATGTAAGGAAACTGATGCTCAATTTGGGGAAACACTTGGGAGGGGAGAATAGTTGTGCCCAAAGACACACAGTAAGTTTAGTGGCAGAGCTGGGATGTATACACAAGTCAAATTCAGATCTAATTACCCTACTCTCCACAAGTGGATGCCTATTTTATGCCAAGAATCAGGCAAAGTGTTTTCGCAGGCAATTTCTTGTTTAATTCTAAATTTGAGATTCTAAGCATAAAGAGGTTGGAATGAACATGACATGAAGAATAAAAACAAGGAAAACAGATAAAGTGATATCCATCTGAGTGTTTAATTAAATTTAAAAGATTGGTGTTAAAGGACTCTAATTCTTAACATTACTTAAGGAGTCTGGATATCTCAGGTTTATTCCATTTGTTCTAGATCAATTTCTTGTTTAGTTGGTTCATTTGGTCACTTGATTGGGGAACAAAAATTATTGAACTGAAAACATGTACCTTGCTCAATTTGGGAAAATACAGGAGGGAAAGAATGATAGAATGATAGAATTTTTATAGAGATTTTCTTTAAAAAAAGGAGATCAAATAGATCCCTATCCATTTGGATATCATTTTAAAATATTATTTCTTCTTATTTTAAATTCAAGAGCTTCCTAAATATTTGATATATCTATCAAC